TTCTACATTTAGCCCTGTTTCGGGCAGGCGGCAGGGCTGAATGTAGAGGGGAGCCGTTTTATACAAAAGATCTCAAGTGGCTGTACAGTCGCTCAAGATAACTTGAAAGCAGCGTGATTGTCACTCCACCTTCCCTCCCTGAAACACCGCCTGCTGCATCTCTCTGACACTGCTTGCAGATGGCAGCCAGATGCCCACACCTTTGCAGAGACAATGACAGCGCACCTGGCTGCCACCTGAAGGTACTGTTATTGTCACACACCATTTCTGTGACACGGTGCCTGTAGGTGAGAGCCAGATGCACTGTCATTGTCTCTGAAGGTGTGGGCACCTGGCTGCCATCTGCAAGCACTGCCATTGTCACTGGAATAGCTGATAGGTGGGAGACAATGACAATGTACCTGGCTCCCACCTACAGGTACTCTCAGTGTCACTGGGATGATGTACCCACAGTGCACCTGGATCCCATCTAGACACCATTCTGTAGACTCTGGACCTATCGTTTAACCACCTCCCACTTTTTAAAGCACAATTTGGACACACCCACCATAGTTCCACCCACTGCCCCACAGTCTCAGGAATTATAATTTCTAAAACTACCTGGGTATGTACAGTACATACTTCATGTTAAGATCAATGACAGGTATCAATTGCAAGCATGTTATTTGAAGAATTTGTGCAGGGGTGTAACTACAAATCATGTGGACCCATAGCAAAACTTTTGCTCCCCCCAAGCTAACTTTTTCTGTAGTGGCTGGCAATGTAAACTGAATCAACTGTGACAATACCTGATGAAGACCTGAAGTTCTTCATCAGGTCCCCCTCTGCTGATTGACAGCAGCAGTAGGCGGGTGCAATAGCCAGCCTACTAGCCAGCCTACTATTGGCTATTCCTATTTGAAATTGCCAATAGCAGCCTAGCTATTCATTCCTATGCTATTTGTTGTTTTTTTATTTCTTTACTCTGACAGCAGCCTGCGACAGCTGTCAAAATAATAGAAAAAAAAACATAGCAGGGGAATCAGCAGATAACAGGGAGCTAATGCTAATGCTGTGATATGATATCACAGTGGCTCCGCCGAGTTCTCAGTGTGTAATGACAGACAGCTGAACTGTCATTATCAGGGAAGTGTGGTCAGGGGAGGCAACCCATCCTTTACACTAGCTTGGGGATGTGTTGGGGCGGGGCTTCGTCCAGTGGGGGCAGAGCTTTGACCGACAGGAGGTGGAGCTTTGGTCGGCGGGGATGGAGCTTCGGCCGACAGGAGGCAGAGCTTCGGTCGGCAGGGCGGGGCTTCAGTTGGCTGGGGAATGCCTCACCCCAAGAAAGAGGTACCACACGTCACTGGTCATTACAATGAGAGCTAAGCGGAGTCGGCTTTGATATCACCACCAGATACACCGAGCTCTCATTGTAATGACAGCTGGTGTACTAGCCTAGCGGCATTCGGCTATTCACTCACTGCTGTTCGGCTCCCATGAGAATAGGCCGAACAGCAGTGAGTAGCCAGCCGGGGGATCGGCCCAGCCGATCCAGATGTTGGATTGGCTGAGTCGAACTCCTTCTGCACTTCGGGTCGGCCAAACATGCTGAGGATGTTCGGCCGGCCCGAAGGCAGCCAGTTGGATTGGCTGAGTCGAACTCCTTCTGCACTTCGGGTCGGCCAAACATGCTGAGCATGTTCGGCCGACCCGAAGCCAGCCAAAGCAACCCGATGGCCGGCTGATTTCAGCTGATATACGGCTGAAATCAGCTGTACAAGCCTGAAGTGAATAGCCGAACAGCGTTCGGCTCACTTTACTTCGGGTCGGTTATTCACACGGCTGCCTTCGGCAGCTTTGTGAATAATCCTCTAAGTGAATGTTAGCAAATAAGGTAAACCTGTGTTCAATTTGAAAAGCCAATGTGCAAGGGATGAAACAACAAGATTTTTGTAGAATATTCAAAGTAAACACAGTTTCTACCGTACTCACTAACAAATTAACTTTTTATAGTAAATACACCCTTTCCAGAGAGTGAACATTCAATTGGAACTGCAGCTATACCGTGTTTCCCCGAAAATAAGACACTGTCTTATATTTTTTGGGGCTCAAAAAAACACATTAGGTCTTATTTTCAGGGTAGATCTTATTTTTTTATGTACAACAATCCACACTTATTCATGTACAACAGTCTACATGTATTCATGTACAAAAATATGGTGATCAGGGCAATCAGGGGTGCCGTACCTTTACAAGAGCAATTTGCTAACCAAGCGCTGTCCAGAATGAGCGAAGCGCCCTTTCACTATCCTCACAGGCGGAGTGCATTTGGTATCACTCCGCCTGCGACAGGAGCCGGCGCTATAGAGGAGGTATCGGCTTATGCGGCTCTGCTCCCTCCAGTGCCACCTTGCTTCCTATAGTGCTGGCTTCGTTGGCACCGCTGATTCTCTCCCGCGGCTCTTTAAGTTCCCCCTTATGCCACCACCGGCACTGGGATTGGTCACAACTTGGTCTTATTTTCGGGGTAGGTCTTATATTTTAGCAATTCTCAAAAATAGTACTAGGTCTTATTTTCGGGGTAGGTCTTATTTTTGGGGAAACAGGGTATTAGGTAAAGTTCACAGGCAATATGTAAGCTTGCCATACATCTTTAGTTGGCCATACATGCAGACTGAATGAGAAAGTGCTTAAATTCCCCATCCACACTAAACAGCGCGGACGGTGGAATCCTTCGCTGCCAGCTTTTCACACTGTGGGTAGCAGTAGCGATTTTTTTGGAATCCCATTGGGGAAATTTCCCTTCACTTTTTGTCCTGCAGACACAACAGACAGTAAGAGGAAATTTCATCAAAGTGAGTGAAACCCTTTTTCACGCTGGCTGCACACTGCTCAAAATTCGGTCCTGGTTACTATGTTAGAAATTGAGCAGTGTGTGGACCCCTTGGCATCTCCGTTCCTTTTTTCAGTTAACTTTTGTCAAAGGAGCTGGTGCAAAAAGTCTCACTTGAACAGTGACGGCAGGCAGTCAGCTGCCGTCACTGTTTGGGTGTTCTGACAGCGGCCACTGTCAGAATACAGTAGACAGATGGAGGAATTCCTCCATCCCCACTGTTTAGTGTCCATGGGGGGGGACAAGCAATGTTTCTTGTTCAGGTTGTTAATAGTGTGTGGCCAGCTTTAGAAAGTTCTCACCAGGACATGTGTCCCCATCACCCCTCTATTCCTGTTCTGGTGACAGCTTAAAATTTAGGATTTTCCCCACTTTCAAACCTGATCACCATAACAAATAGGGAGAGTAAATCTCTCTAGTGCCGGGGTGAGCAACTCCAGCCCTCCAGCTGTGCTTTCACTACAGATCCCACCATGCCTCTGCCTCTGTGAGTCATGTCTGTAACTGTCAGTCTTGCAATGCCTCATGGGACTTGTAGTTCCACAACAGCTGGAGTGTCAGAGTTTCCCACCCCTGCACTAGTGGGACACAGACATTAATGAAAATCTATAATGGGTTCTAACCCCTCACTTCTCTATCCAAAACAAAAAAATGGCTTTGGATACACCTTAATGCTTGCTTGATGGCCCCTTTTTTAATTGTATGTTCAAAAACCGCTCATGTAGTCATAGGCATGCGCACAGGGTGTGCCTGGACTCACCCTAATCACCCCGGGTGCAACACCAAAACCGCAACAGCAGGCGCAGTCAGTGGGGAGATCACAAGGATCTCTCTGTAACTGGCTCAGCGATACCGAACGCAGCAGCCACTGGCGGAACTACCAGGGTCAAAACGGTCCCATTTGCCACCGGGACCTTGCATTCCACCACTTGGCGGGGCCAGAATGGAAGAAGAGGGCCCAGCCCTGGTAACCGCCAAGTCTCCAACATTGCTCCCCGGTGGCCCTTCATGGTTTCTTGCACCGGAGCCCTGAAGTTTCTAGTTACACCTCTGGCAGCAAAACTTGCCAATTACATTTGCCACATAACAGTCGCAGTCCTCGGGGCCTGGGAAGCTGCAGGGGGCTGGGGCTTCCCATCCAATCAGGAAGCCACGTGCATGGTCACATGTCCACCTGCCAGGCTCCCTGCTTCATTAATGCGCTCCTGCTGGGAAAAGCAATTGAAGAGATTGGAATGTGTATATAT